ATAACGAAACTGCTTAAAGCTAGATTTCTATACGCTCACCTTCAAATTCGGTAGTAAATATGGCAGATTATCAGGAAGAAAACTCAAGGCGTTTCCAGAGAGATTAAGGAATACTAGATGATAGTATTGCGGTGGAAATGTAAGAGGAATTCGATCGATGTTGTTGTACGCCATGTTTAAGCTGTGCAAATTCGGTAGTGTAGCCGTAATATCGGGAATGAATCCTGGAAAAGTGAGAATAGATATTGAATAGTCAGTGATTAATGACCAAGCAGAGTGCAGTAAAAACTAGCTAGTTGGTGACTGCAAAATGGAATTCACAGCATTGACTTGAGAAGTGCATTGTGCTTTTTGTTTTATGGGGTATTGTTCTTAGAAAATGACTAGTTCTGGAGAAAGAATGAACAACAGAATGCTAGCACTCTGTAGAGATTGTATAACACTACTATTAAAGTAAATTCTGCTTACCTCCAAGCGAATTACCAGCAACACTAAGCGTTCGGATACTGTCCTGAGCCCATCCAAGAGAGCTCGAATGGAACTCGTCTAAGTGATTGAATGAAATATCCAGTTCTACTAGTGGAATATTTCGAAAAGCATCAGCATGGAAAGGCTGCTTGACCAGTCCCAATCGGTTATGTGACAAATCTAGCCTAGAAATATTATTGGAGCAGAATGCACAAGCGCCCACTTCGCTTAGGCTATTCCCGCTAAGGTCAAGCACAGCCAAATGTGCCAGTTGTCCTAACTCTCGAGTGGGTATCGTGCGCAGATTGTTATTAGCCAGTCCAAGATGACGTAATTGTGCCACATCGTTCAGTGACAGATTGGCAATACTGCTAAGGCGACAGTCATTCAAATGCAATTCGTCGAGTTGGGGTACATCAGCAAAAAGATCGTTGATTTGTTTGATAGGAATGCGATTTCCATCGAGTCGTAAGGATTTGAGAGTTCGAAGCCCTCGCAAGAGGTTTGCTGATAGTTCAGTGATGGTGTTGTTGGAGAGCGATAAGGATTTGAGGTTGTGGAGGAATGTGAAGACACCAGTGGGCAGAATACTGAGGTGGTTATGGCTCAAGTCAAGAAAACGCAAATTGGGCATACCACCGAAATTTCCCATGGTGGCATGTTCGATTTCATTCCCATGAAGGTCGAGCAGCTCCAGGGAAGGTAAACGAGTACTCCTACTCATTGCAGGAATACCACACCTTACCAGACGAAGTTGCTTCAACTGGCTAAATCTGTTCAAATTATCGCTCCATTTGAACTTGTTCGCTGGACGCCAACTTGCAGTCTGGACGTCCAAAACCTTTAACGTAGGCGGAAGTCGATTCAAAATATCAGCAAAGAGTGTGTCGTTAATACCGCCACGATGGCAGTAGACAGCCCAGGATGCATTATGCGGTGGAATTGCGTCGCATTCACATTCTCGGGGACACTCTGTGACACAGTAGGCTTTGTAGGTTAATAGGAGTAATAACAGTAATGGTCCCATTCTGATGTGATGCCCTGATGCAGAAGCAAAACCGCTCCAACGGCTGGTAGCTGAAATGACCGCGGGTGTACGTGAGGGCGTGGCGGCTCGTGGCGTTGAAGGCGTGGCCCCGTCGGGACAGACGCACCGATTACACACACTATTGGGTGTATAATCGAAGATGAACAAACATCTTCAGGCTGGATGACATTGGATGCCGGGTGCTTGAAATTGGCTGTAGATGAAGATTTGTTTGGATGAAGTGGATGGAAAG